ATCAGTTTCTAATAAATTTCACAGAGGCATTGAATTCCAAATATGTTTCTGTGGATATATAGCAGGTGGACACTTGAAAATAAAAGCATTGTTATTTCAACCTAAATCTCATTAAGCTCATTTGCGCCATTAATTTAACCTTAGTTGTCTTCAGTATAGAAAAATCTAAGACTTCTTTCTCTCTACTATTACAAGAAGAGCACAGCAGTGTCTCCAAAGGCAAGACTGAGCTGAAACAACCAGTCATTTTAGTGTATGTTTCAGCAATGTAACTGAATTCCTGTTTTTGCACAGCACTTTATAAGATAACCACATTTACTGTAGAACATTTACCAGCTTCTGCAAGGGCAAGGGTCTGAGAGATTTTTAAAAATTTTTATCTTGTTCTACACATTTGTTTTCATTTCTCGAGCTATTGCACACAGTTCTTACACAGATCAATCTTTCTATGCACACACATTCTCACAACCCCCTCTGCAATGGAAGGGAATCAAACTAAAGCTAGGACAGAGATTTAATGAGATACAGGGCGCACGTAATATGTGACAGATGCACAATGGCTCGTGTCACATGACCTACATTGAGATACATAAGAGCTAGCAAATAACTCCGAAGATGATGACTTTTCATGCAGAAATACATATCAAAGGTTTTTTCTTCATTTAAAAGGCAGGCAATTTTATTTGTATCTTCAAAAACAAATGAATACTTTGAAACCCCAAGTCTGGACTTGGATTCCAACATCTAAACAAACATATCTGCATTGATTTAAAAGGTGTTTATTGGTACCCCACACGTTTTTCAATATCTGACCACTTTTATCTAAGTTTTGATTTAGGAGACAGCATTTAATCACATAATCCCAACCCAAATCTCCTTTTACAGCTTTATAGCACTCTTTCCTAGGCACAATTCACGACTCGCAATCATTTACATGACTTAACCTCACTTATGGCAGAACTTCATGGTTCCTGAAAGAGTTGGACGGTTGAAGCTCACTTTACTCATGGTAATGATATAAAGCACCAGCAGAGCCTTCACTTGGTGTGGAAAGAAGCAAGATAAAAAAAATACACTTTCTGTGACAGAAAAAGGGTCCCACAAGAAGATACTCCACTGAATTTTTATGAGCTAGATCAGACTACTACGGTAGACTTCTCCTGTACGATCCCTCTTAAATAGCTCAAGTGATGGGCTGAAGTTATCTAAGCAAAACTTCTTGCCCTTCAGATATTCATACAGACAGGTGTCTCTGCTGAACACACTTTCATTACCCTAATTCTGACTACTTTTGCACATCTCCAGTTTACTAACAAAAGGTCAATGATTTGCAAGGTCTACCTTGGAAGTGATGGCAATGGTATTTACATTCTCAAAAGAGCAGCTAGTGATTTAATGTATAAATATGAGGAGTGGCTTGATATATATTAGTGACTGGGAAAGAGACAGCCAGCAGCATTAATTACAAAACATACTATTTATTTATTTTTTTCATCAAGGATACTGTCCTCAACAACAGTCAATTCACTGCTCAGAATATAACCTGTATTTTAAAACGAAAAAACAATGTCAAGTAACCTCTGTACTTAGTGGGGATTTTGCCTTCTTTGGGGCAAAACTATTAGATACTGAATATGTTTCGGGGGTTTTTTGTCAACGCATATTTTCCCTTTTTTTTCCTTTAGGTGCAAGGCTATCAGAAGAGTAGTACTCCTGATCAAACATATTCTATTAAGCTATTTGATAACATGCACTTTGTAGGCTGCAGTCAAAAGTATTGCCTTTGTTTTAAAAACCAACCAACCAAAAAAAAAAAAAAAAAAAAAAAAAAAAAAAAAAAAAAAAAAAAAAACAAACGAAAAAACAACCCCCCAACCAAAATAAACAAAAGAGAAAAGAGGTGGTGGGGGGAATTAACTGATAAAATTGATTTTTTTTAAACTCAAATCTTCATTAAAGCTGTTTTGGTCTGAGTTTTCTTCACTAATTTTCTTCTGTTGCAAATGTGGTGAAAAATTACATTTCTAAGAGTTCTACTTTACTCTGAAGCTCTATTTTAAATTGAAGGGTTCTGAATCCAGGCTGTTTCTATTTGAAACATTACCTAGCAAAATGATATGTCTCATCTGGAGAAAAGCTTTAGAGGCTTATTTGAATTCATGCTACCCAGACTTGATCCTCTTTTGGTTTCAAGAGCATCCCCAAAGGTGCATCCACGAGCCAGATGCAAATTCTACCGATGTCTAAAATGCAAACTTAAAACTTATACCTTAAACTTTCCTTAGGGACTCTTTCTTTAGTTTACGATATATATGAAGGAGTAATCTGAGCAGATATAGAGAGGCCAGAAAAAGATAAAGACCCTCAAGTTACTTCTCTAAATGAGAGTGGGGGGAGACAAGGGGTGGGGAAGCCTCTTGGGCTCTTGTTTAGTTTTTGGGTTTTTTTTAATTCAAGCTATAAAGCAGGTGTAGTTAATTACTTAAAGACCCAGAAACCCTTAAAAAACAAATATCTAAATCACCTTATTAGCATAAATATATTTATTTTTCAAGACATAGTATCTTAGAGACTTCTTTGTGATAAAAACATTACAGATTTTCTCTTTCCACCAATATTAAAATAAATTTGTAGCCCTTAATTACTTAAGATGAACTATTTTTAGACTAATACCATTTGCACATATTGAAAAACACGTTCAGAACTGAATCTTCACCATCTGGAACCTTGGCCAGCACTGTGTTGAGCTTTTTGGGGGAGTATTTTGTTGGGTTTATTTGCTAAGTTTTAGAGGGGTTTTGCTAGGGGCGGGGGAAGTGTTTGGTTGGTTGTTTTGTTGTTGTTGTTGGTTTGGGGGGGGGGGTTCATTAGTTGCTTTTTTTTCTTTTTTTTATTCTTAAATTTGGAAGGAGAATCTTGGCAACAACCCAGTAGTCTGTTAGAGAAGCTGGTGGCAAGCTCTGAAGAGCATGTTCAGTGCAGCAGTATAGATACATTTGCATCCTCAGAATAGTCTGGAAAGAACATTTACCTCAACAGCAAAACTTTGAAGCCTGTAGCACAGCTGCAATAGAGAACTTGGACTAAAACAAGCCCAGGTCTACACGGTACAGAGAAAGTCAAACCTTCCCTACAAAAGCAACAAAATACATTACAATACTCGCCAGCTCTTAAATTTGCTAAGACTAGATCAACTACTGTTTTAAACCACTGTTTGGATGCATTAAAAAATGCCTCCAAAATGTAAAGCAGTGCCAAAAAGAGGGTTTAGCTTTTAATCCTTTCCCTGAAATGATACTCGCCACAGAAGCAGGATGAATACCAGTAGTTCAGCATGTAAATTTCTCCCACAAAAAGAAGAGAAGAAAAAAGCATGGTGCAAGCTCATTATCAATACCTTTCAAGACACAAAAAAAGGTGCTGCAATTTAAGAAACTGATGCAGAAAAGTCAAAATAGACAACTCAAAAATATACAACTGTATATATATATATATATAAATATATATATACACAACATAACTAAAGCTAAAAAAACACACAACTGCAAATTCTACCTGATAAGCCCCTAGAAAGAGAAAAAAAATATACAGATTGTCCAAGTATTTAACACTTAAATAGAAATTTACTTCCTCCTGGGAGCCTGATATGTCAATTAAATCCATACAGCCTAGAAGCATCAAAAGATTTCACAGAATTTACTGAATTGGAAGGGACCCACAATGTTCATCAAGTCCACCCCTTAGGCCTGCACAGGACCATCCCCAAGAGTTACACCATGTACCTGAGAGTATTGTCCAAACTAAATAAAGAATATTGTTTTCCAAAAGACAATGCACCTAAAGTCCTTAAGACTTGCCTTAAACTTATGGATTGGAGTATATGGAGTATAAATCTTATTCAGGCAGTCCACAGACACACAGCTTGATCCTCCATCATTTTTTGTTCTGTTCTGAATTACTTTCAAGTTTAAGAGTTGAGCCAAATAAATACTTCTATATTCAAAAGTATGAGTGAGCAAAAAAAAATAAATATATATATAACCCTCTCTTTTAAGAAAAAAAACAGTGAGGGCAACAACTTATTAATTATACCCACTTAGCAGTGGAAATGGAAGTGGTGCTAATTTGGTGAGTTGCATTTTATTAAGTCTCAAACTCCAATGACTACGTATGAAAGCCTTTTTCAATACAAATATAGTTGTTTATAAAGTTTATAAAGTTTATAAAGTTGTTGACAAAGTTTACCAACACAGAAAATTCCATTAGAACAGCACTGTAATATTTGCTAATTGTATTTCAAGGAAGAACCTTAAGTTGGAGGGGGTCACGTAGAGCCCCCTTCACACAGCAAGAGAAGGAAATATAAATGTTAGCATTCATTTTTTAAAAACCCCAAAGCCATAAAAATATGTAAATTCTGTATTGGGATGCAGTTCTTAAAATATCCCTATTGTTGTCTTGGTTTCTATTTGCTTTCTACAATACCCCAAATTGGCATTTTTTCAAAACTGTCAGACAGAGTGTCTTTACTTGTTCAAGATGCCCAGAGTTCTGGTTAGGGACTTATTGGCCCTGCTCAGAATTGGGTTTTGCATAGTAACAAAGGGGTGATTTTTCAACCAGCTGTCACATCCCTAAAACTTTGGGGTTTCTGGGTGCTTATGTGGTCACACCTCTGGTTACAGGACCTGCAGGTCCAGTTGGAATGAGACACAATAACCCCACGCATGGTGCCCATTCTCTGGCTGTACCACCGCTGTCCCAGGGCAGTCCTGTACACTGGAGAACAGTGATTCTTTCTTTTACCTGCACCCATTGCCAGGCTAGCAGCAAAGCTGCTGAACATGATCATGAACAGAGGTCTTAACACATCTGGAATTTCCTACTTTGAACTATTTTTGGTAGTATTCTAATGCAAATTCCCCAACACTTTATGCATATCAATGCTGCATTAACAAGCATTTTTAAGATTTCAAAGTTTTCCATTAGATCATCCTTACCTATGTAGTTTATCCTCTAGAATCTCCATGTACTTCTCAGCATTTTCTTTTACATTGGACACTACAAAATAAAGGTCAAAGTTAGGTAATGAGTTTTGTGGAGGCTTTTTTTTTTAACCAACTCAACTCTTACCCATATATTTTACATATATCAGTTAGGAATAAGAATTCCATTATTCTTTTTCACATTCAAATTACAGTGTGGGTGTCTTCTCCCTTTTTTCTTGAAAGTCTATTGTATCTGTATTACAATAATATATCTAGTAATGAACGCATTAACCTCTTGGTTGACCCAGAAAAATGGTAAGACTAACAAAGGCATAGGTGCTAGAAGTTTCCTCTTAACAAAAAAAAAAAAAAAAAATCATCTCCACAAAAAAAGAAACAGCACCCACGCAGCTAGGTCCTCCTCTTTAGCTTCAGAAGAAGGCACCAAGCCTAATAAATTCATAATAGTCCTTTAAAATGTTATGAATCTTCATATGTTATCAAACTTTTTCTGATAAAACCAAAAAGGTATAGAATGGAAAGAAATACCACTCAAGACCATTATGAAATTAGGGTTGAATTTTTTAGTGGTCTGGTATTTTGGGGGGTTTTGTGTATTTGTTTGTAATTTAATTTTTAATTTAATTTATTTTTTGTGTATTTGCTCAGATCTAGATATTGTCTGTATGAGTCCCTACAACTTCTTCACCCAGAAGAAACTCCAATAGATCATAACACACAATAATAAGGCCATTCTTCTGGATGACCATTGGTATTTATTAATGGTACAAATGGGGAAAAGGTAAACATCCTCCAGGAAAATGGAGGCTTTGAGATAATAACCATTTTCACATTATGATAACTTTTTTCCCCCCTCCCTAACAGCTGCTTGCCAACTTCAAGTTTAGTAGGACTATAAATCAGACGATCTCTTTTAAAGTCTTAAATTATTGTACATCAATTAAATATGTATTTTATACGAAAATGTATCCAATGGAGCATCACTGTTTTTATGGGCAAAACTTGTGACATGGATCAGGTACCCTGTGAATTTACGCACTCATCTCTCCTATCTTCCCCACAATACAATGCCATTGAGCACAGCTTACATGTATCAAGTGCTTCACGTATTTCTCACTTTTCCCTTTTGTGTTTGTTTATTGGGGCTTTTTTCTTGAAAAAGGAGAATGTCACACACACCAAAGCTGAACCTGAAAACTCAGCATTAATCAAATCGTCTGTGCTAAAGTTTAGTTCACACACACACACACACACACACACACACACACACACACACACAGGAGTTCACTGAGGTCATACCATTAGCAGCAGGTATGAGGGTCAATGTAATATTGACTATCTGCCGAAGGTGGTGTTCACCTTGTCATGCAGCAGTCACACATCACTGAAGCAGCTCTGCATCCCAGTAGCAAGTATTTTGCCTAGTTGATTTACTTTTTGGTTGTTTTGTTGTTGTGTTTATTTTATGAGTTTATTGGATTAGCAAACAAAAAAAATCAAAAAATCCCCCAAACCTGAAACAAACAAAAAACCCAAACTCACCACAACCCCAGTACTCTGGAAGTAGGATTCTGCAATATTATACATTGTACACAGACACCTGCATTAGCTTATATATTCACAGATCCAACTGACAATTAGAAGAGTGCTGATAGATGTTATGCAAAAGGTTCTATAAGGATTTCTAATGGCACTGGAGACTACTTCCCCTAGCTTGTAGCAGTTCTGTAACAACTATAGGCCTTAGAAGTTCAGTTTCCTTACCATGGTCTTATTCCTACACTTCCTGTGGAACTGCAGAGAGTCTGCAAAACTGCAAGTCTTCCTTTAATGACAGACTTTAATGACCACCACTTTTTCCAAACTCCCTATCCATCAATCCCCAAATGCGCTGACCTGAGGCCCAGTGCATGCTTTGACAGCAAATAGCTTCAAGGTGTAGAGGTGTCGTACTTCCCCTTCTCTTGCCATTGTCACAGCGTCCTTCAACATGAGCCATTACAACTCAGGGGCTTATTCTTTTCAATAATAAAAGCCAGCAGATATTATTAGGTTTTGGAGAGCGATGAGAAGAGGTGGAGAATCTGTTTCACACTCACTTTGTTTCTAACCGATATAGTGACTTCTTATGTTACATGAAAGATAAACCTTGCTTTCAATTTCTCCTGCTGTGCTTGTCACTTTTTAATTGGGTTTGATCTGATGGAGTAATTCGCACTTTCACAGTTCAGTCCTGCCCCTACATGCAATTTTACAATGCCCTTGAAGCACACAGCTTAATATATCAGCATTATTCAATGACAAAAAGTAATGGACAAGAATATACCACTAGTAAAAAGTAGGTCAGTAAAAAGCTAACACTCATTTGGAAATCACCTCACATCACTAAACCCTACTCTCTCCTGTCAAACATTTTAACTACATTAAAAGAAATGCAAACTTTGCCGCTGAAAGAGAGAGCTCCCCAGACTATCTTTGTCTCCTTGCTTTCTTCTGCATGTAATTGGAAAACCTGTGACCTGGAGATTTTCTTGGAAGGAAAACCTCAGCTTAAAAATCCGATTAAGGTTACTTCCCTTGCAATAAACTGCAAACAGGGCTGCAACAAATACAGAAATACTTTCAGCCTTTTAGATAATCCATTGAAAGCAAGCAACAAATTAGCAGATTTTTTCGTTCTAATTTAATGAATTTATTCAACACTTAGAAGCAAAAAAATGCATACAGGAAGCTGCGTATGCCTTCAATCTGGCCAAGAAAGTACTAGATGACAGAGGGGAAAAAAAAAAAAAAGAAATAATAATTTATGAGCTTCTTTTCTGCATGCCAAATGGTTTATTTTTACATTTAAGTGAATGGGATTGCCTTTTTCATCAGTTCTCTGGGGATTTACATGCTTAGCTCATATTGGCCTTGAGGGGAGTTATTAAAATAAAGAAATATAAATACTCTATTAAAATAAAGAAGTATAAATACTCACAGAAGAACAGACACCGGGGAATTTGCAAAGGCTAAAAATAAACTTTTCTTGTGAAGTCTTAACTGAAGAAAAGTGAGTCAGCACTTCTTTCTCTGATTTTATAAATTTTTCTTCCTTCTTACAGCAGCAAAGTCCAATCTTGGAATCAGTCCTGGTCAAACAGAGTTGAGGAGAAGCAGTGAACTCCTATGGTGGCCTTTTAGTTGTAATAGAGCATAAATCTGCCATTTTAGAAGCTGCATAAATATCTTTCAAGAATTAACCTACATAGCGTTCTTTTAAAATAACGTCATGTCATTTCTCATCTGAAAGCAGCCCCAATGGGGTAATGCTATTTCTATTACTTACAAAGATTATTCAAGGCTGCATATGAAAGTGTATCATCACTTTTATTCTTTGGTCCTCAAAAACTGAGCTTAAAAAGACCTACGGGCCATAATATATGCTTTGGATTCTATTATCCATATTTTCTAAATTAAAGTATCTGACTAGAGACACCTTGAACACAGTGTTCATATGGGCATTCCAGATGTGGATGCTTGGCAACTCAGAAGAATAAGGCTTTAAACTTGAATTAGGGGCCTAAAAAAAATGGTAGTCAATATCAGAGTAGTTTTTTACGTGCTACCCCACAGGTCTGTAGTTCTCTTCTAGAGAAGTGATCCACTGAGTCCCAGAAATACAAAGTCCAAAGTTAATCTTTTGCCTTCCACCCTAAAAGTTATTATTTTTTCTTTTTCTTTTTTTTTTTTTCTTTTTTTTTTTTTTTTAATGTGTGGACAGGGCGGATGCATAATGTGAACACACATTTTCACACAAAATTTAAGGTTGGAAGAGCTGCAATGGCTGCTGGAAGATCAAGACCCAACTGCCAGACATTACCTGCCAGCACAATGAACCTGAAGCCTACAAAATTAGTCTCTCCAATTCACAAGCATTACGTTCCTTCTCAAATACTTTATTAGTCAGGTAGAGCAAAACTCCCACTGGCTTCAATGTTATTTTTGCCTGACTTAAGGTCTAGGATGAGATTTGTCTTTTAGGATTTATATAAAAATAAAAGTAACTGCATGGACAGGCATTGATCCACCTGGGGCAAAGTCTGAGGGCAGAATTAGGTGTGAACAAGGCTGACATGTTGCTTGTCCTGTCACTATTCTATTTTCTAAACGTAGAAATTGTTATTAATGCTAAGAGAAAAGCAAAAGCAGAAAATGATTCCATGAAAATTATTCTAATCTTTTCTGTCATAGAAGATGTACTACATTAATGTGTGAAGTTGGGCTCTGAAAAACTGAAGAATGGCTTCAATACATTTAAAGGTTATCTTGAAAAGACAGTCAAGCTTTGGAGATGACATCTCAGTTGCTCAACTACATGTCAAGATGATTTATCCAGCCCCAGTAAGAAGATTTTGGATTACAGAAGGGTAAGGAATTTTGCATCCTGCAGACAGACAGGGGAAAAACCCAAAGAACAAGTTCTGCGTGAAGAACAATGGCTTCCCTCCAGTGCATTGTTCCCGAAGAACTCTAGAAAGAACTAAAAAGGCCAGGATCAAAGAGAGGAAAATAAGTGATCTGATAAAAAAGTGCAAATACTCAGAAAAGGGGAATGAAATTCTGTGCTGGTTCAGTGACTGTTTTTCAGTAATGAAGTATATACTGAAATACGTAGTTATTACCTGTTTCTTCCAGGAATTGTGGTTTGTTCTAAGAAATGTGCTAATCCTCAAAATATCACTGCAAAACAGCACAAAATTTGCCTGAGGAAATTACTGCCATCAGAGATGAGGTGACCAAAATTTAGGAGTCCAAATGGACTGGCTATTTCATAAACAGAAACACTACACAAAAGTGATCTGGAAGGACTAAAATCCAAACATCAAAGAAATCAAAGCCAGGCATTTAAAGATGCAGCCCACTCTTACTTGATGGAGTTGAAAATACCCACTGGCTAGTCAGAGATGATTCCATAACTCAATCACAAGGTTCTTCCCTCCTGAAAATAGCTGGCCTAGAGAATAGGATACTGTCATACCACACAAATGGAAAGCTGTGTTTTGTGGTG